CATATATATATATATATATATATATATATATATATATGACACCATCTTTTTACCACGCGCGATGCCGATGCAATGACAGCAGACGCAGAGACTGCTCCAAATCTGCGGCACATCGATCGTTTCGGTGAATACAGTCTAAAAGCACTGAACACGGGGTTGAGTACTCGCGGGTATCCTCATTCGGTTCAGTTCTCAACAACACGTGCGCGACAAGGTCCATCTTCGCCGCGAGGCGACCATCTATAATTAGTTTTCTCAGAATTTGATGCAATTCTTCCAATGAAATTGACAGTCGCATTGCCGTCTTTCTCAAGTCCAAACGCGCAAAACTACTTGTATACCCTGCAATAATGCTTTGTTTCATTTGCAGGAGAAGTAGTTCACTATGCTTGTAGGCGAAAAGGTCGGTTTTCAGCATCATGGTAGCTAACACGGATGCAGAGCGAAGAGCGTCGGCAAATCTGGCTTGCCGCAACGCCTGCAAAATCATATGAGCACCAGGAACATCTTCCCAAAGCTGCATTACATCCACACGCGACACCAGCTCAAGCGCCTCCATACGTGGCAGCGCTGCAACGGCGCAAAACAACAACATTACGCCTAGTTGCGTTCCTGATGTTATGAACTCCCCCACAAACCGACGCAGATTCCGAATTGCAGGTAATGCGCCCGGGGAGTTTACACGTGCACCCAACGAGGCGGCGACTTGCGAAGTGCCTCGTTTTGTGATCAACTCTTCGGCGATGGGGGCCCATTTGGCCCCACGCAGGCCATTTGCCGTGAAGACGTTCGCGAAGCCTTTGAAATCGCGGTCCTCAAACATGCCCAGGGCTCGCACCATGGAAAAAAACAGGACACACTCTTCCAGCTCTGACATCATCTCCTCCGAGCAACGCTGCTGCAATGCCACATGTGATGAGTTTCCACCCTGTGCCGACAGCAGGCACTGTGCAGCATTCTCGATGAGTGTCGTCGTCGAGGCCCCCACAAGACCACGTACAGCATTCAGGTCACCACTACTTAGAAAAAGCTCCACACTTCGTCGGATAATTTCGAGCTGCACAAAGAAAAACTCTACCTTGTGCGAATTAAGAGTCGTTTGATACATTGACTGGACCGATACCAGGAGGCGGTTTAAAGTTTTACTCATCGCACCGTGGTCGTGCATGTCAGCGAACACTTCGGCTACACGTAGCTGTTCCCTCAATTCATGCAGTTCTACTGCCTCCAAGCGACTCCTTTTCGCCGTTAACGGAGAGCTCTGGTTCGACGCACTACCAATATCTTCACCCCGCGAACGATCTAACGCCGAAAGAGCATGTTGCATCGCCAAATCTGCCCGTGTGCCCACATCATCTTCGTCTTGTGTAGACACCAAGCATTCCTCCAAACACCAATGAGGGTTCTCTTTACACCAACGTCGAAATTTATGCACATCACGCACACTCAATCCTTCCTTTAGGTACCCTGCAGCAGCTACCAAGAGCTCCTCGCACGCGCTCGCATGAAGCCACTCTCCACCACAGCCACCACCGTCACCAAAAAGAATATGTGCCACTCGAAAATACCGCTGCCTTTTCGGGGCTCCCTCCAGGAGGAGCTTTACAGGAAGCTCCATCCCAGTTCAGGATATATATATATATATATATATATATA